TTTCTGTGTTTTCTTTGGTCTGTCTCTCAATCCTTTGAAGATACCTAAAGATAATTCTTTTGTATTCCTAATCAGAGAGTTCCAGTGCTGCTTCTTCCTCAGGGATGTGTTCTGGATCTGTATCCTGCTCCCTTGTTTCTACCACTTTATCCTGCTTCTTTGTGTGGACTGTGATCCTCTGTTGTTTCCGAGGCATTGTGACATTGTTGTATTTAGATCTCTGTTAACTGTTTGTGAAGAGCAGCCAAGGGTGGTTCAGGCTCTTTTTGGTGGTTTTTAATTGTTGGCCCGTTGGTGGAGAAGTAGGAAGTGGCTCTCGCTCAGGAAGTGAAGTCGCAGGAGGTATGGGTGTAGTTGTGTCTTATGAGGACTGTTGTTGTCTTCCACTCAGTTAGACACAAATTACAATTGAATAACCATCAAAAAACTAAAAGCCCATGGACGAAAAACACCCCATGTAGTTGCACAGGAACAGTAACCAAAAAAAAGGGAAAAAAGGAAGAAAAAGCAAGCAAACCTGCAATATCTAGGGATAGGGCACTAAGAGGGGAAAAAAAAAAAAAGTAGGGAAGAAGAATAATAAATGAAGAAAAAAACAGGAAGAATGCAAAAAGAAAAACAAGGAATGGAGTTAGTCACGAGAAAAAAAAAGGAGGGGGGGAGGAATAGAAGGAAAAAAAAGAAATTCGGGGCAGGGGTGGGCAGAATTTCAACCAGGCACAGGGAAAAGAAAAAATGCTGAAAACTATGACCTGGTAGGGGAAAATTAATAATAATAATAAAAAGGACAAAAAGTATTAACAATATTATTTCTTGTGAAACGGACAAATACAAGCAAACTAATCACCGGGAAAAAGAAAGCAAAAAAGAAAAAGAAAAAATCAGTGGATGACTGAGTAGGGCACCCAGGTTCCGTCTGAGCACACAGACTGATGGAGTTCCTGTGGGCCCAGAAGGTAGGTGGGAGTGGGGATGGCCACACCTCCGTTCACCAAGCAGGTATAGGGTGTAGTAACAAGAAAAAATGTTGTACCTTTTCAGTCTTGCAGGCCC